ACCCTTAATGTACTTATGGAAATCCTTGTCATTAATTTTAAAAGATCTTGGCCAATATTTTTTCATATAATCTTTTAGATTTTCTAATTTCTCCTTTGACCAACGCTCTTGATCTCTAATCTTCTAAATTTCTCATCATTGCAGTCAATTTAAATTCTTTATAATGCTTTTCATACCATTTGTGAGCCAACCTGGTTTTTACTTACAGACTATTTTTTGTTTTGTTTTTTAATGAGGAACATGGGTATCTTGGATATTTAAGAATTATAAAATTTGTCCACATTTGATCATTATCTCCAATCAATTCAATTTCCAAATTCACAGCAGATAATTCTTGTCTCATCCCTTCAAAATTTGCTTTTCAATATTTGTAACCAAAATATTATTATTCCTGTACTCGGCAAAACATCAAATCTAATTGAGCAATGGTCACTTGCTCCCAGATGTTTCCCCAATCTCCACCCTATCAAACATTTCTATAAGTTAACAATAAATCTAAAATAGCATTGTTTCTAGTTGGTTCCTTAACCAATTGGGGAAAAAAAACCCATCCTGAACGGCTTCAAAATCTGTCTCTCTCATAATTTGCCTTTAAAATTTCACACTCTATATGCTGAAATTAAAATTTCCCATAATTATAACTTCATTAAGCAGTTGCATTATTTATCTCACTGTAGAGATTCTCGTTAATTTCATATGGTGGTTTGTAACAAATTCGAACTAAAAACTGTCTCCATTATAATCACTAACAGAACCCCAAACACATTCAAACTCCTTGCTAATAGCTTTGATGTCCTCAACTTGAATAGGGTGTAATTCATATTTTACCTATAAAGCCATTCCTCACCTTCTTTTTTGTATTCTATCTTTATAAGCAAACCTATAACCTTGTATTTTAAATAAATTTCTGTCATCAAAATTGTCTACGTTAACCGGGTTTCAGTTATTATCATTAATCAAAATACTCTGTTCCAGCTAGTGCTCTCAAGTCATCCATTTTATTTATTATACTTCTAACATTACAATAGTAACTGTTTAGCTTATTATTAAAACTACTTTGTTCGTACTCTATACTTTTCTATACATTTTATTTATTTTTCATTATACTGGCCCTCACCACTGTTTAGTTCTAGTTTAAAGCTGCATTTATAGTTGCGTTAATATCTCTTGCAAACAAGCCAGTCCCCACCCTATTTAAATGTAAATCATCCATTCCATAAAGCTCCCTTTTCCCATGGAACTGATCTGACAAATCCAATCTGCTGATTCTTACATGTAAACCTTAATGATCTACTTATAATTTCACAATTATGTATTGGCAGTGTGTCTGACAGAATTAAATTATTATGACCCCTTTCTTTTAATGCCTTGTACTTCACAATTAGCTTCTCTGCTCTACCCTTCCTTACATCACCAGCCTCCTATGTGCACTACAGAGACTGCATCACGGCTAGCATTCTTTATCACTCGTTCTGTCGGTTATATCCACAACCCCTGCACGTGGATAGCATTATTTAATTCTTTTCTCCTTATTTGCTTCAGAGACTGTGGTAAGTCCACCTCTGCGTGCTACACAAATACAGTCCCCCGGTGGGACAGTGGTAAGTTTACGAACTTACAACGCTATAATGAACTGAGTTAGGATCTTTGCATTGTATGTGTTATTCTGAATAGTGAGTGATGCATGTAGCTTTATATTATGTGGTACTGCACTTGGAGTATTTGTCTGATTTCAAATTTCGGTGTATCATAATTCTTGCGATCTCTTGTCTAGAGAAAACCTGTTTGAAATATTTACTCTATACTCCAGCAGCCAATTGGAGTCAAACCAGAATACTAAAAGCTGGCCAAAAGTTACAAAAAATTACAACCCACTTTGTGAGAATAAAATATTTGTACACTTGTGTTTGCTTGTTTTTCCTTTGCTATTGGTGTTCGATTTATTCTCTATAAAAATTTGTAGAATCACCATTTTGGCGAAAACTCTTTTTTTTTACATGTTGGATTATAGTCTCCTTGAATACCACGTCTACAATCTGGTTTGAAATCGGCACTGCTACTAAGCTGGAGAACATTAAAAATATTCGACTTTTGATATCAAATATAAGAAAAATGATCATTCAGAGGATATTTCGTCCA